GAGGGCCTGCGGAGTTGTTCTGGGGCTCGTGTTTGTAGTAACTGAGGTACTGATGAGGCCCAAGACTGTGTGCTTGCTCGTGCTCTCATATTTGCCAAACTTGTCGTGCTTGCAGTTCTCTGTATCCACGTGCTTGCAGTAGTGCATCGTCTGGTTGCGTGCGGTATCCTGCTCATGTACATGTTGGGGTAGCCTACCATTCACTGGTATCTTGCCGTAGTCCTCAGAAGCCTCCCAAGAGTGCACCAGGGTCTTACCGGGGTCGTAGCTCGGGTCGCACAGCCTAGAGCCCTCGTCACTCGGGTTGAGCTCACTCGGAACCCATCTCACGTGCAGGCGCTTGTTGAGGGAGGGGCACAGGGCGACAGCCCGACGAATGCATGAGAGGACAATAATTTTTGTTTGCTCTCCTCCTCTAAGCACAGTACTGCTGGCAAGTTGTCGCTCATGACGACGACATGCTCGCCCTCTCGCGGTGACAGGCTACACTGTATCTCTACAGCTCGCAAGAGGGCACGTGACTCGTAGACCAAAATGTCTTCCAAAGTATTACGCCACCCGCGGGCGACTATCTCTGTCCAGCGGGACCCTGAGAAGATCTCCGCTGCCATCTCCTTGAAGGTTCTGTCAAGCCCACACTGAGTCTGGGGCGCAACCTCGTCAGGGCTCTGCAGCCCAGAGCCCACGAGACACCTTGCCGCACCCGCCAGTAACGTTTGGCCGTGGGCCTGGTGGTCAGCGAGGCTCCGTCCAGCACGCAGCCCAGCGTCGCGCCGCGGCCCCTCTGGATGTCCGTCTCGCGCGTCCTCAGGCCCGCGGCGTCGAACCTCGTGGTGGCGGCGGCGAGGCTCGAGGACACCTCTGCGCCGTCGAAGCCCATCACCCCGAGGTTGTCGACGTACGTATACTGAGCGCCTCCTCCGTCGGCCAGCTGGGCCGACGGCCGAAGCACTGTCGTAGGGCCCCGGTCGCTCATGCGGCGGGCCCGCTCCAGCCCGGGCGCGGCGCCCATGACGGCCTCGCCCACCTCCTGGCGGAAGTAGAGCGACCAGGTGAACCCCATCGGCAGGGCGGCGCAGGCTGGCACCAAGCGGCGGTCGGGAAACGCAGCGCTGTCCCCGATAGTCTTGCCGGTCACCCCGATCTCCTGCGCTGTCGCGGAGCGGAGGCAGAAATAGGAAGAGAGCCCCCGGTCAATCCTGAAGCGATGGAAGGCGTCGCTGATGTCGGAGGTGCCCAGCGTGAAACCGAGGTCCGACTGGCCACAGCACTCGGCGCCCTCCACCTCGATGCGGGCGAGGCCCTCGGCCGTCACGAGCGACGCCCCAGGGGGCGAGGTGAAGTGCAGGTTGCTGCGCCGAGCGTCTATGATGAGACGCAGCTGGTCTGACTTCTTGGAGACGAAAAAAATCCCGACGTCCTCGCGCCGCTCACTTTCGCCCAGGAGCACCAGAAGGCCCTTGGCGTAGAGGAGCTTCACTATGCGGACGTAGAGCCTGCGGTTGCGAGCCAAGGAGGGGCCCCAATGAGGAATGACATCACACTCATCAAGTCGGCAACGCAAGCTAGCCTCATCTAGAAGCATCGGAGAAAAACCGTCTTCGAGATGCTGGCGTGCATGGGCAGGGGCGATGTCCAACAGCCGTGGCCCTCCCACCGCGGTCTCAGGTAAAGATACCCGCCCCACATTGCGAAGACGTCCGACGTTCCGTCCGGCCGACTCGTCGTAGACACTGCGGCCGTGCAGCAGCTCAGAAAAGGCCGCTCGCGGGGAAGGGATCGCGGTCTCCATCGGCGGCACGCAGTCAGCCGCGCATTCCAGGATCCGCGCGTGCACCTTCATCTGATCAAAATTCGGCTTGTCGCCTGTGGAGGTGCGGTTCACCAACCAATTCAAGGCGTCGACGACCTCGTCGAAGTCCTGGCAGGCTCGCCTGGCGAGCCGGGCAGCCCCACGGCCCTGGAGCTGCGGCCAATCCCTCTCATGGTCGCTCAGCCTCGGCAGGGGGGACACCGACAACAGGTCCACCCAGACTTCGCGACTGGGCTGCGCGCTACCGGCGGGGCGCCCAACTCCGCCGGCGGGGGCAGTCATGCCCCCTCGGGCGCGGTGAGCCCCCCACCGCGCCCAGCCGCCCCGCGCCCGCCGCCGCCTCCAGGAGCGCCGCGGCCGCGCCCGTCGGCGCCGCGGCCCCGGCCGTCTCCGCGGCCTCGCCCGCGCCCGTCGGCGCCGCCGGAGGGCCCGCTCGGGAGCCCCTCGCCGGCCTCCAGCGCCAGGGGGCTCGGCGCAGGGAGCCCGGCAGCCCGGCTCTTCCAGCTCTCCAGCTCCATCTCCTCCTTGTTGCGGCGGAAGACTGCGGTCCTCAAGGCTGGGCCAATCACGTCCATCGGGCCTGCCACGCCCATGTAGTGCCGCAGCCCGCCCCACTTCGGAGGCTCGTTGGGATCGCCCGAGTAAGCCTCGACGATCTGCGACACCCGACCACGCAACGCCTCAATGCTGGCCATGCTGGGCAAGTTGACCTGGTCGTAGCTTCCCGCGTAGAAGATCGCCGTGAGCAGGCACTTCATCTCGACGTAGCTGCGGTCCGTCTGGCTCAGCTGCCAGTCCCGCGCCCACAGGTCCAGCCAGAGCAGAGGCGATCCGCCGTTCTGCTCCCAGCGCTTCGCCATGTGCTCCACCGTGCTGAGGCCGTCCTCGAGCGGCCAGTCTTTGAACGTGTACTTCTTGATCTCGCGGACGACCTCGCGCCACGGCTTGTGGCGGCCCCCTTGCTCGCCATGCTGAACCCGCAGCGTCCTGACGTCGTCGACCGAGTCCGCCTCGCGCGCCCCCTCCGGGGGGGCACCCCCAGCCTGTCTCTCAGGTCCTGGTCGTCAACGCTGGGGCCGGCGGCCTCGGCAGCTCCGCGCACGGGATCTGCCTCGCCACCAGGTGGCAAAGCCGGCGGCGGCAGCGGCGGCCCCCTCGCGCGGGCGTCGGCGGGCAGGTCCCTCTCGACCAGCCCGAGTAGCTCCCGCGGGCGCCTATCCCTGAAGGTGTCCACCGAGCCGACGGGGATCGCCTCCACGAGCTGCCAGATGCCAGCCTCCCTCACCATCGCGCGGTCGTCGTCCAGCCTGACGCCGCCAGCCTCCAGCACCACTTCGACTCCCAGGCGAAGGGGGCCCGGCGAGTTGACCAGCCAGCAGCATCCCTCAGGCGGCTCCAGCGCTGGTGGGGCGGGAACGACCGCCTCATCAGCGCCCGCCGAGGGCGACGCGCCACCAGGAGGAGTGTCGGTTCACCCGACGGCGTCCCTGGCCCCCCGCAGCGGCAGGCGACGCCGGAGGAGCCCGAACGGGCGGGGGACCCCCTCCCAGGTGTAGATCTCCGCGGGGTCCACCAGCGGCTCGTCACCGACGCGCTCCTGCAGTCCTCGACCTGAGCACCGCGGCGCGCAGCTCCTCCCAGATCAGCGGCCGCGCGAACCTGTAGAAGGCGCCGTGGGCCACGGCGGGCGCCGTGCCGTCCAGCGCGACGGCGAAGGCCCTGCTGCAGCCGTCGCCGACGGAGCCCGACACGTCCTCGGCGTACCGATCGGCGTCTGGCGTCAGCACCCACCAGTACGTGCCCCCCGCGGGGTACAGCAGCACCCGCTCGTGCCACACCGTGTCGCGCGGGTACCAGAGCCCGACCCGGCGTCCTGACCGGAGCTCACTGCACCACGCCGCCACCTCGACGAGTGTGCCGTCCGCGGCCAAAGTCGTCGGGCCGCGGCGGCGGCGGAGGAGCGGGGCGATCATCGCGACGGGCTCGGGCCGCCGCGCAGCAGCACACCAGGGCCACTGCCTCCCCGCAGGCGATCCCCCACGCCAAGAGGAAGGCGAAGGGACGCCCTTCGCCCACGGCTAGGCCTGCCTCGGGCGCGGACGGCGCCGCTCGGGCCTCCTCAGGCCCCAAGGGCGGCAGCCGCTCCAGCAGCGCCGCGGCCACCTCGTCGGCCGAGGGGCAGGTGGCCGGTGCAGGCGAGGAGTTCGCCACCAGCCAGGGCCCGAGCTTCTGCGCCACGGCCGCGGCCACCGCACCGGCGCTCGGCGCCGGCGGTGGCGGCGCTTGCGGGGGCCACTGCGGCGCGTGGCACACGCAGGACGGGCAGCTGGTCGAGGCGGCCACCAGCGCCGCCAGCCAGCTCGTCGCCCAGCGCAGCCCGGCCCAGGCAGCCGGCGCCCCCACCGCGGCGCTCACCGCGAGCGTGGCGGCGCCGCCCGGGGCCATGGCCCGGCCCGACTCATGCACTTGAGAAAGATCAAAAGCCATGGAGCGGACCAGACAATCACGTGCAAGCACTCCTATGGCTTTTGCTCCTTTTCAGCTCTCCGCTGGCCCAAGACGGTCCAAGCGGCCCCCAACATCGACCCACGAGCGCCCAAGAGGCCATCAAGATCGCCCCATGACAGCCTAAAAGGCCCCGAAGCGGGCCCCAAGAAGGCCCCAAGACGGCCCAAGAGACCCCCAAGAAGCCCAAGATAGCGTCCAAGACGGCCAAGATGGCCTCCAAGATGCCTCCAAGACGCCCAAGATGGCCGTCAAGACGGCGAAGATGGCCCGAAGATGCACCCAAGACGGCCCAAGATGGCCTCAAGATGGCCTAAGACGGCCCTATAGGCCTGCAAGAGGCCTCCAAGACGGCCCAAGAGCCCTCCAAGACGTCCTCCAGAAAGGCCCGAAAGGGCCAAAATCATTGAGTTACCTTAGGTGTTTCAAGGATTGTGGCTTTTGCTCCTTTTCAGCTCTCCGACGGCCCAAGCGGCCCTCAACATCGACCCAAGAGTGCCCAAGAGGCCTCCAAGATGCGCCCATGACAGCCCAAGAGGCCCACGTGTTCCCCGAAAGGTTTCCACAGCGGCTCGGGGAACACCTGGTCCGAAAGTTTGTTCAAGCTCTGGGCCCAAACGTTTGGCCACTGAGGCGCTTCCAAAAAGGCAGGGGGCGGCGGTGACTCGCCGTAGGCGTCTTC